TTCCCTTTGTACGAACCCGACCTTCGGGCTATCTTCACAACCGTGGCTTCCCCCGCAAATTATTCTGTTTAGTCGTGTTCTATATGATGTTAGTGTAATCTAGGAACGTTTTTTAGCAACTAAATACTAGTTTCAAATAGGAATCTCGCTCGTTGGCGGATTTTGCTCTCGACTCGTGATGAAATTGCGTTTTTTGCAATTTTACTGCCTGAGTTGTTCGACCTGAACTTCTTCCAGTGCTAGGTTGAACTTTCGCAAACATCGCCCAAACGGGGCTTGCGATATACCGTTGGAAAGCTATGGACATCAGTACAATGACCCAAGTTAAATTTTTGGCAAAATATAAGCGTTTTAAGAGCAGTTTTGAAAACCATTTTTTCTTCATACAAAAAACGTGAATCGTATTTTCGATCGCATTTTTAAACCATTTATCGGAATGAGGCAAATAATATGGCGTTGGAAAGCTGCTGCAAAACCGCTCCTTCCACATGTTGAAAGTTTTCTCTAATTCCCTACGGTTAAAGAGTAATTCAGAAAATAGTAGAATTTTACAAACAGAACACCCGAGTTCGTATTTTCGATGACATTTCTAAACGGCTAATCCAATTGAGGCAAATAATATGGCGTTGGAAAGCTCATGAAAATGTGCTACTTTTTCATGTTAAATTTTTTTCTAATTTTGAACGGTTTAAAAATAATTAAGAAAACAGTACAAGTTCCACCGAGTTCGTATTTTCGAGCTAATTTTTTAACCGTACATCCAAATGCAGCAAATGATATGGCGTTGCAAAGCTTGAAGAAATGCAAAAAAAATTGTATATATTGTTTCTCCTAATTCATTACGGTTTTATATATGTTTTGAAAATGACTAAAAACGTATTTGTGCCGTAATTTCTACAAACTTTATCGGAATGGGGCAAATAATATACCGCTGAAAAGCTACGGAAAATTCGAAACTTTTTCATGTTGATGGTTTTCTCTGAATCCTGGTCATTTTCAAGTAATTTCGAAAATGGTGAGATCATGCATTCTGCCTTTATCGCAAAACAGATTCTTCAAAAATGCACCACGTGAAGAACTTGAACTTCTCAGTGTGTGTGCTTGAACTTCACTCTGTTTTTCACGGGATTTTTTGCTCTCAGCTCTCCATCCACTCACCGGAACACTCACTGGAATTGAGCAAGTGATATATCGATGGAAAGCTGTCGTAAACACGCAACTTTCCCGTGTTGATCATTTTTTCATACTCGCGACGGTTTTAAAAGTTTTTCATCTGAAATTCATTCAGTGTAGTTGGTGAACTTCCTGCTGTTTTCACGTTGAACTTCTGTGATATATTTTCGTTTGTAATTTTCTCATCCATTTCGTCAGTGTTACACATATGAAAATGCGCTACCTTTTCATGTTAAAAGTTTTTTCTAATTATGAACGGTTTAAAAGTAATTTAGAAAACGATACAAGTTTCACCGAGTTCGTATTTTTGAGCTAGTTTTTTAACCGTACGCCGAATGCAGCAAACGATATGGCATTGGAAAGCTTGAACAAATGCGAATTTTTTTGTATATATTGTTTCTCCCAATTCCTTACTGTTTTAAGTCAATTTTGAAAATGGCTAAAAACATATTTTCTCCGTAATTTCTACAAACTTTATCAGAATGAGGCAAATAATATAGCACTAAAAAGCTACAGAAAATGCGAAACTTTTTCATGTTGATGGTTTTCTCTGATTCCTAGCCGTTTTCATGTAATATCGAAAATGGCGGGATCATTCGTTCTGCCTTTATCGCGAAACAGATTCTTCGAAAATGCACCGCGTGAAGAATGTGAACTTCTCGGCGCGTGTACCTAAACTTCACTCTATTTTTCACGTGATTTTTTTGCTCGTAGCTCTCCATCCACTGCTCGTAGCTCTCCATCTACTCACTGAAATTGAGCAAGTGATATACCGGTGGAAAGCTGCTGTAAGCACACAACTTTCTCGTGTTGATCGTTTTTTCATACTCGCGACGATTTAAAAGTTTTCATCTGAAATTCATTCACTATAGTAGTCGAACTTCTTGCTGTTTTCACGTTGAACTTCTGTGGCGTATTTTCGTTTGTAATTTTACTCATCCATTCGCCTGTGTTACACAAATGATATTCCTTTTGTACAAACCTCTCTCACAATAATTTTTTTAACTTTCTCCAACGGAGAACTTGAACTTATAACAACAAAACTTTAGTCTTTGTTTTTTATTCTTTTTTTCATACAAAATGCACACCGTGTAGTACGTGAACTTCTGGAAGTTATCAATCTGAACTTCTCTCGGTTACGTGAAAATATCTGAGTTTTTTATAAATATTAATATGAATTTCTTAATCCTTTTTTATGAATTTTGAAGCGCTCTATTTTTAAAAGTTGAACTTCTTGTTATTTTATTTTTGAACTTTTTGTTTCCATTCTTTAATAGCGAGGAAAATCTGAGTTTTCTATAATCATCGAACTTCTCCATCTTTTCAATATGGACTTCCTGGTTTATTTCTTAATCTTTTCATGAAATTTAGAAGCGCTCTATTATTAAAAGTTGAACTTCTTGTTATTTAATTTTTGAACTTCTTGTTTCTATTCTTTAATAACGAGGAAAATCTGAGTTTTATATAATCATCGACTTCTACATCTTTTTCATTTGGACTTCCTGGTTTTATTTCTTAGTCTTTTATGAAATTTTGAAGCGCTCTATTATTAAAAGTTGAACTTCTTGTTATTTAATTTTTGAACTTCTTGTTTCCATTCTTTAATAACGAGGAAAATCTGAGTTTTCTATAATCATCGAACTTCTCCATCTTTTTCATTTGGACTTCCTGTTTTATTTCTTTTAGTAATGGAAACAATCCTACTTTTTGAGAGACACCGAGCCGCTCCGTTTTTAAATCTGAGAGAATTATTTTCAAACACAAAAAAAACAAATTCTTTTTTGTCTTTTGAACATGGAGATACAAGGTGAACCTCTCTCGCAAGAATTTTTTAACTCCCCCGGACAGTGCACTTGAACTTCTTTCAACAAAACTTTTAAGCTTTTATTTTTCTATACTTTTATTTTCACCTGAAATGCATTCCTTTCAGTATTGAACTTCTCGTTGTTTTCACCTTGAACTTCTGACACGTATTTTTGTTCAACCTCTCTCACAAGAATTTTTGAACTTTCTCGGGCTAAGCACTTGAACTTCTTGCAAAAAAAAACCTTTTAGCCTTTGCTTTTCCACTCTATTTTTTCACACAAAATGCACACCGTGTAGTACGTGGACTTCTCGCAATTATCAATCTAAACTTCTCCCGGTTACGTGAAAATATCTTAGTTTTTTTATAAACATTGAACCACCCTAGCCTTTTTATTTGAACTTTATTGTGTATTTTTATAAATGTGAAAATTGGAGATATTTTAGAAACATCGAACTTCTTCGCTATTTGAAATTGAACTTATTGGTTTTATTCTTTAGTAACTAGAAAAATGTGTTTTTTCAAATAAATATGAAATTGCTCCGCTTTTTCCAATTGAACTTCTTGATTTTATTCTCTAGTAACGAGAAAACATGAGTTTTTTATATACATTTAACTACTCTATTTTTTGAAATTGAACTTCCTGGTTTTAATCTTTAGTATTGGTGCCAAAAATGACATTGTTTTTGTTTTTTTTTGTTTTTTTGAGCTTCTAAATCCTAGGTTTTAATATCTGTTGACTTTCTGTGTTGTTTTAATTTGAACTTCGCAGAGAAAGAATGATAGAATTTGAACTCTCTAGTGATAATATAGTTTGAATCTAGATTGTTCTTTACGATAAAAATGTTACGAGAGAGAGAGAGAGAGAGACAGAGAGAGAGAGAGAGTTTTGAAGCACACTCTGTTTTTCAATTCAGAGTTCTTGGTGTTATTCATTAGTAACAGGGAAAGTCCTAGTTTTGTAATATATATTAAACCGCTCTGCTATTTAAATTTGAACTTTTAGGATTTTTTAAATAAGGAAAATTCATTTTTTTATAAACTTTTTGAAGTGCACTATTTTTTATAGAGATTTCATAAAGTGGATTCCGAGTTCTTGGTGTTTTTTATCCTTTTGCAGCAGAGTGTAATGCAGATTTGTTAGTAGTCAGTTTCGTAGTTCCTTGGGGGTTTGTTTTCTGTTTCTAGTCAGTTAGTTGTGCGTCGCCGTAGCTTTTGCGACGTAGCTGGAAATACTGTGGCAGCATGCCTGCTGGCCATCGTGCGCGCTTTCACATGTAATAACTGTGTCTGGTTCTAGACACTTTGTTTTGTTTCTGCAATGAAATGGAACAGGGGCGCTGCCCTTTTCTTCTTAAAAAAACTTATGTGTTTTTAAACATCGAACTTTCCACACGAAAATGTATATCGCTAGAGTTCCCCTAAGTTTTTTTGTCTTCTGGACTTGTCGAGTTAATTTTTGGCAAAAAAATTGAACTTCCTAGCATCTGCGCTGTCAAGTTATTATTTTTAACAAAATATAGGTGGTCCACACACTCGTAGGGACCCCACTAGAAACATTAAGAATGAGAGCAGGCACTATTTTTTGTTGTTGTCTGTATTTCACTCGGCTCACTATCTGAACTTCTAGGAGGGTTCTGTTCTTTAGTAATACAAGAGAGCAAGTGCGATCATCTAACATACATACACAATGAGTAGCGATTTGACTACTAGTGTTTTTATATAGAAAAATACACTACTAGAAAAATTTGAGCATTCCCTGGAGAAGCATTAGCTAGTTACAACTTACAAGTTACAGGCGTACAAACCAATACTGAATGCTACCGCTTGCTTTTAGTTCTCTAATATCCATGCGCAGGCAATCTAGCCGGCCTTCAATGGCAGCAACGCACCATCGTACCACCGTGCGAGGTCGTGCTCAAGTCACGCATGGCGGTACCTAGAAGCAGCCGGTGCGTGATTGCCAGTGCCTCGGCAGGCAACGAATGGCGTTGACGGCACATAGCATTGCCCCGCGGAAACCATGGTGACCATGGACAATCTGCCGCCTCCGGGGTTTGAGAGTACGCTCGTGGACGAGCCACAGCCGCCGGGAGGAGCTTTGCTCATGGGCGTCGTTCTTGCCGCCTTAGGCCTTCCTCGCGAGGTTGTCGTGAACTTCTCCACCTGCTGGAGCAGGGAAGAAGGAGGTTGGTTGCAGGGATCTCGCCGGCTGGATGTTGAGACGTACCACGACCGCAGGGGGTAGCTGGGTGAGGCGCAACGATGGGTCGTGGTCGTCGGCAGGAGCGCCGGGGTGGTTGGTGCGGATGGACCGCGACGGCGGTGATGCACAGCCGGTGGCGCAGGAAGGTGGTGGTGGGGAGAGATGGGGAGAAACGGGAGGTTAGGGACGGACGCGCTGTATGTGGTGGTTCGCGGCATCGCGTAGAGATCCACGCCCGGCGGCGGCGCCGTGGGATCCGGGGACCGGCGGCGGCGGCGTGGGATCCAGGGCGGCGGTGGTGCGTGGGTATCGAGCGTGGATGGAGGCCGGTCGTCCGGGACAAGATCGGGACGCATTTATCGGGACGCACCGGTTCGGGAACACCTAGCTAATCGTGATTCAAATAACTATTCTAATCCTGATATTAGAATAGTGTTGTCATGATATTATATATATATATATATATATATATATATATATATATATATACCTAATTAATTAATTAATAATAAAGCAAATTAGATTTTTCTTCGTCCGTCATGATATTTTTCAAAAAAGTCCTTTTATTTTAGAGAATTCAACCCGCAGTTCTGTTTTAAGTTAAAAGGAATCGTTATTTTCGTATTTTACATAAAAATCTCTGTCTTTTCTTGAAATCAACCCGCCGTCCGGATTTAAGTCACACTCGAACCGTTATTTTACATTTTTTAAACTCCTCCTGATATTTTAGGTAATTCATCCGCGGATCATGTTTAAGTCAAACAAATACATTTTAAAAGCATCCATATCTTTTAAACCGTAACTCTGATTTGAACATGTTATATATGAAATTTGATTAGAAAAATATGTAAAATATGAATATGAGATTATTTTTACCTGTTAAGTATTTTTAAATATTATTTTGGAATATATTTAAGTCAAACCAAATGATTTTCTAAATTATCTGTATCTTTTAAACCGTAACTTCGATTTTAACATATTATATATGAAATTTTATTAGAAAAATATGTGGAATCTAAATATGATGTTAATTTTACCTATTAAATATTTTTTAAATATTGTTATGGAAGCAAACTTATAATTTATAGCGCAAGATTCATTTTTTTCATACCGATGGCGATCCGGATTGCAAATGCACCCCACTATAACCATATACGGAAAAGAAAACATCAATAACTACACATACATACCTCTGAAAAATATCGCAGGGGAAAACAACAAATTTCTCATCGCGAGAGTGAGAGAGAGAGGGAGGAGAGAGGGAGAGAGAGACACCTTATGATTAACCATATTCAACACACGTTTTTTGTTGTTTTGTGTGAACACCGAGGCCATCGCCGGCGAGAGTGAGAAGGAGGGTAAGTGGCAACACAAATATGATGCCTCGTAAAAATAAAAGAGATGGACCTATTGTGGTCTTGAGTGATAGTTGTTGACTTAAGAGCGTGTGTTATGTTTTCTCTCCCGTTGCAACGCACGGGCTCTTTATATGAAATTTTATTAGAAAAATGTGTGGAATCTAAATATGATGTTAATTTTACCTGTTAAATATTTTTAAAATATTGTTATGGAAGCAAACTTATAATTTATAGCGCAAGATCTATTTTTTTCATACCGGCGGCGATCCAGATAGCAAATAAACACCCCACTATAACCATATAGAGAAAAGAAAACATCGATGACTACACATGCATACCTCTGAAAAATGTCACAGGGGAAAACAACAGATTTCTCATTGTGAGAGACAGGATTAACCATATTCAACACACGTTTTTTGTTATTTTGTGTGAACACCGAGGCCATCACCGGCGAGGGTGAGAAGGAGGATAAGCGGCAACACAAATTTGATGCCTCACAAAAATAAAGGAGATGGACCTATTGTGGTCTTGAGTGATGGTTGTTGAGTTAAGAGTGTGTGTTATGTTTTCTCTCCCATTGCAATGCACGGGCTCTTTTGCTAGTATATATACATATATACAAGGAAATGTGTACATTCATAATTGAATCCAGTGCAAAAGAGAGCATTTGCCAACAAATATGAACACCATGTGTGCACTCTAATGCTAATACATACTATGCAGTAGGGAATATAACATACTCACTGCTACAAGAACATTTAAGCTATCCAATTATCCATCTAGCACTGACTTGAGCTACCAATTAACTACTAGACAAAAAACTACTAATGCTTACTCACCTGAACAGGGCATCCATAGAACCTCCTTCCAGTGTTAGCACCTTCAAAAGCAACACACTTCCTAGGCATCATCTGGTGCAGAGTGCACTTGGGAACTTGCTCCATGGGAGCACCACAAAATAGTGGCCCGGGGATGGTGTCAGGTGTCTCCTACATACAGTACAACCTTAATCAGACCAAGGAGGCATCCAATACTTGCAGATCCATCAAAGCTCTCCCTAAACCAAAGAATCCATCCGTAGTTGCAGATCCTCAATCCTAATTCCCAAATCGAGTGAAACCTAACCCTAACCCTAAGTAATGGCAGAGGGAGAGAGTGGTGCTTACAAAGTACTCCATGTCCATCAAGTTGCCCCCCATGATGTCGTCGTCAGAGCTCTCTTCCCTATCATTCCAAGAAGGCCCGGCGACGATGGCGAGCTCGAGCAGGGGAGAACAGAGTGAGGGAAAGAGTGGGTGTGAGTGTGCGCGAGTGAGACAGAGGAGACGCGGCGCAGGCGCTTTTCACTTGGTTAGAACTGCTCGCCTTGATGGCCATCACCACGCGCGCTGTCAGCTAGGAGCCGACCAAACCTGACGGGCGGGCCCAACATGTCATAACCCCGCTTAATTTTTAACCATTCGTCAACTAGAGTTTTTTGGAACAACTAAAGAATTTTGCGGTAGTTATTGAAAAATTAAGAAAAGTGGTAGTTGTTTGTAGCCATAGCCTGCAATGTGGTAGTTTTTGCTATATACTCTTATAGTACTGGTTTGGGTTACCTTCTTTGTACTAAAAATATACAATTGGTACACTGAGGGGTCCAGGAAACGAGACAATACGTTGATGGCACACTAATAGAGATCTTCACCGGTTCGGACTGCATCTCATGGCGTGGGCTTCTTAGACGCCATGTACGTCCTCATTGGTGCTGTTCCCACGGTTTTTATCTCTGGACTGGCCAGGCCCTGCCGCCCACTAGCTGATCTGCTCGCGTTCTAGGTGGGAGTACGTTGATCCTGTCAAGTCCAGAACCACGGCCGTTCGAAGGCAGTGCCTCGTGTTAGTCATGACGCGGCCTGAATGTCCTGAGCCCCGTGTCTCCTTAGCTTCTGTGGTCGGAGACCGGGTTAGGTGGGTTTAGCTGCGTGTGTCCTCTATTTGGGCTGAGCATCCCTCTTCCCTCTGCTTTGGGCATCATACGCACGCCTTCTTGCGTTCGTATAGTGTGTTGTAGCCTCTTTTATATTTTCTCTATTCTGTTCTATTAGTAAAAAAAATACGTAAATTTTGCTTATTGGCGAAAAAACCCAAAGATCTTGGTTGAAGTCGAAAGCCAACGACAGGCACTCACACGGGCTCTTTGACAGGGAGGCATGCCGCCGCGTCTTTCCCTGCTAGTTTGTTTCTGTAAGTGCATCTAGTGCCACCCCTAGTTGGTTTTGGAGTATTGACGACAAACCTGGTTGAGGGACTAATGTGTTTGTGAGAATTGCAAGATAACACAGGTAGAAGTCCCTCATTGATTCGGTTTTCCTACCGGAGATGACCCCTAAAAATGTATGAAGACATTGAAGTCAAAGGTGGTATGTGAAGACATTCACATTGAAGACTATGACAAGAGAAGACATCGCGTGAAGACTATGGAGCATGAAGACTAGTTGTTTCGTCGTTCTTTTTCTTCTTTGTTGAGTCATAGGAACCACCATACTGTTAAGTGGGGTCCAAGTGAACCAGTCAGAATGACTGAAGTGATGCTTAACCAAAATCCTATGTCTTCGAGCGAAGACAATGAGAGCAAATCTTATCCAGAGCTGGATAAGTCAGCTTTGCTTGTAGCTCAAGTAAAGTTTCCGCGTGTGTTTGAAATCTGACCGTTGGAACACATGTCAGTTCCTTAGTGACCTAGGGTCATTTCGGACAAATCAGGTCGGGTTGCCTAGTGGCTATAAATAGCCCACCCCCTACACCATAAATTGGTTGGCTGCTCAGAGTTAGTGCACGGCTTTTGTCATTTGAGAGCAACCCACCTCGAAGCCATTGAGAGAGAAATCCTTGCAAGGACAAAGCCCTAAACACCCAGAGCCAAAGAGTGTTAGGCATCACTAAAGTCTTCCTGTCTGTGTGATCTGAAGACTTATTACACTTGAGGACTGTGAATCCTCCAGCCGGTTAGGTGTCGCGTTCTGAGCATCCAAGAGTCATTGTGGATCGCCGGTGAACGAAGTCTGTAAAGGTTTGAAAGTCTACCTTGAAGACTTACCAGAGTAATTGGGCGAGGACCGGGTGTCCTTAGCTCAATGGTAATAAGGTGAAGACGCGGTCTTCTGAGTTGAATCTCAGCCTCCCTAACCAGACGTACAGTTGTCACAGCAACTGGAACTGGTCCAACAAATCATTGTCTTCAACGAGCCACTGGTTCTATCCTTCCCATCTCTTTATTTGTAGATTGGTCCTTGTGAAGTCATTGCCTGTTCGCATTATCTATTTGTCTTCACTGTGTGACTGTTTGTTCTGATTGGCTTCATACTATCTTCCATCCTGATCTATACTGCCTAGCTGCTATTAGTCTTTGTGCTTTCATTTCATTGAATACTTGACTATGGCTTGCTTAGTGTAGTCTACCTTCCGCTGCATGGTAATAGGTTTATTTCTATCGTTTGTCTTTGAAACTTCCATGTTTTGAAGACTTTCATAAAAATCGCCTATTCACCCCCCTCTAGTCGATCACTAGCACTTTCAATTGGTATCAGAGCAAGGTACTCCCTTGTTCTGTGTGATTCAGTTTAACCACCTGGAGTTTTAGCTATGTCGGCTGCAGGGATAATCAAAGTCTTCGTTGCGTGCCCAGTCTTCGATGGAACTGAATATCCCTACTGGAAGAATAAGATGTGCATGCATTTGGAAGCCATTGATGTTGACCTCTGGTATGTCGTCAAGAATGGCGTCCCCAAGGCTGGTGAAAGTGTCACCGCTGCTGATGTCAAGAAGTTCGTTCAACTGGATT